CATCTCCCGATTTTACCTTTTTACCTTTCAACAACATTTAGAAAAAGGTCTTTTACGATTTTTATTGCATGAACAGTTTAAATCTGTAATCTCCTCTGCACAAACATAGATACATAATTACATTGTAGGCCCTATTTTCCCAGTGTTAAGGGGAGAAAAAGACCAGATTGTATGGTGCATGATGTCAAGAGCCAGTCAATCAAATTATAAACATCACCTTTAAATTTACAAACATCACATTACAATTTGCAAACATCACCTTGCAATTTACAAAACATCACTTTGAAATCTGTAAACATCACATTACAAGTCAGAAACACTTGAAATCTGCAAACATCACGAAGTCAGTAGATAGTAACATACAAAACAATTGCTGCATATGTAGTTCTTAGCACTCGAGCAAATGTATTCACATGGCAACAACTGGATTATCCTCACAATTTAACCCACTAGGTTATGACTCCTACATAATAAACAAATAGACATGTATTGAATAGCACACATATTCATCATGTAGCAGGTCCTTTGCAGAACGTCGCTCTTATCAGTCTTAGTTAGTTAGTTAGTTATTCCTCTTGTGCCAAAGATGGCGCATAGGGCAGAGGTCATAGCTTTCCACGTCTGTCGGTTCGTTGCCACTTGATGTAGGTCTTGAGTGCGACTGAGACCTATGGTTGAGCTCTCCCTTGTGATGGTTCTACGGAGAGTTTCTTTTGGTCTTCCCTGTTTTCTTTTACCCTCTGGTGACCATATGAAGGCTTGGTGGGGAAGTCTCTGTATGTCCATTCTGAGTACGTGACCGATGTAATTCCAGCGACGCATTCTAATAAAATCAGACACATATTTTTGTTTTGTTTCCTTATCAGTCTGCCTGAAAGAAACTCGGTCTCTCACCAGTTCTCCCGCCTCATGTACTTTCATACTCAAGGAGTCATTTATATCCTGTGCTGATCTTCCTGGTACCATGCCTTCTGCTATAATTTTATCCATTCCGTCGTGGCGCTTGACATGACCAAAATATTTCAGCTTCCGAGACAGGATGCTGTTTATTAGCCAATATTCGTTGATGTTCAGATCTTTCCAGATGTCAGTATTTCTCCTCTTCTTAATGGCACACACAGAAGTAAAATAGAAGGACACACTTGATAACCTAAAAATGGCAAGCTATAGTTATCATTAACTGGTGCCTGCACAGAATAGTGGGAATTAAATGGTGTGATAAAAATCAATAATGTAGAGCCTTGGGACAGAACTGAACAAGTTCCTGTGGATCAAGAGGTGAAGAAAAGACACAGGCGTTGGATAGGACACGTGTCGAGAAAACCTGAAAAAAAATTTAATCAGAATATCTTTGTACTGCAACCTACAGGGAGATAGAAATAAAGGCAGACCCAAAAACAAAACAAAAAACCCAGACACACAAAGAAGGGAACTACAGAGTGATGTTAAAAGATGGGGAGGAAACGGAAAGAGCTGCTTGCAATAGCAAAGGATAGAATGACTTGGCGTGAGTTGGTTGAGGGTCTATTTCTCTTTGTGGATAACAGGCAGAAAAAAAAAGAAGAAAAGTTACCATGCCAGGAATGGAACTTGTCACCTCCAATTGACATCAGGCTTAGTACCCTTGTCCTACAGCAAGGCACTGTCTTCACTTGTAGATTAAAGATTCAATTGCCAGCATGGTAACTATTGCTTGTAATTTTTATGTTGTCTAGTGCGTCCTTCTATCTTTTCTTTTTTCTTCTTCATTGCATTCACTGGTTTTACACTGTACCAGACATGTTTATGTTGTCTTGTGCGCCCTTCTATCTTCTTCATTGCATTCACTGGCTTTACACTGTACCAGACATGTTTATGTTGTCTTGTGTGCCCTTCTATCTTCTTCATTGCATTCACTGGCTTTTCACTGTGGCAGAAAGTTCTGGTTGTTCAACCACCTGTGGACTGTCGTCTTGTTCCAGCACCTGTGTATGGTATTGATAGATGGACTTATCTGTATGCAGAAAGCTGGTTCTTTGCTCTCAGGCTGATGCACTCCGACTTCGAAGAAAGCCTCCATCTGCTCAACTTTTATGACATGCTTATTAGAGAAGCAGTGGGTCAATTCTTGTTCCCCCCCCCCCCCCCCTCCACAAGGGTTCCGGAACCCACACGGGGCAGCTTCTTTCTATGAATGTGGATCATTACATGTATATTTGTTTATTACAATGTATCCTGTTTTTAAAGGTCTCAGTTGTTACCTAATAGTTTAATCTGTCGATTAGGTCATCTCAGTCTTAGTCAAGGTTTCAACCTCACTGTAATCAGGTCACCCCATAACTGCTCTGTTCCTGTGCCAGTGCAAATCAAATGAAATGTTCCTCACTGTCCCATCTGAAAAGCCGGCGAACAAACAATTGTCCTGGCACAATTCAAAAATATTGCACGCATTAAATGCATACGGCAGTTGCTAGAGGCGCCAAAGCCAACAGTCACCACCAGAAATACAGTTTCATAGAAGTACTTGGTGGCAATAAGTTGGCTATACACAAATAAAAATTTTTATATAAGGTATTCCACCAGCCAATACATAAACTGACCACCAGCCATACTGAATACCACAGCTCAACCGCTGCACAAATAAAAGGCATTCTACATAAAAACAAGCTCACAGGGCTGCACCGAGCACTAAACTCAGTAGCTCAGGCAACGAAACCGTAGACTACCGTCTATATGTGGAAAACTGCATTAGCAAAGCGCTGTCAGAAGCAAAAATAACTTTGAAGCTAAACATTCGGCCTTGTGAGTCCTTCAGTCTGGACCAGAAGGTCACCCATTAATTAGCTGGTGTTCTCTGATTCATTCCTTAATCTTTCCTTCCTGCCAACAAGAAATTATATACCGCCCTGATGGTGGAGCAGACCAGAGGGTACGGTGCCTGCCTTTGGCTCAAGCAGACCAGGTTCATTCCCTGGTGGCATATGTTTTGATTTTCATAACATAAGAAAAAGTATCTGATTTAACCAGACAAGGTTAAGGTGGGGCATGGAACAAAAATGGTTGAAAAACACTGATCTATGTGCTTACTGCACACGTTAACAAACCCTGCCCTGTTGGAAATCTGAAATGGCAGACCAACAGAATACTGTCCAGCTCCATGTGGGTTGTGAACTCAATTTTGGGACAAAACAGAAAACACCCACTGGCCTTTGTAAAAGGGGAGCATCATTTTTTTTTTACCTGTGAGCGTTCCAGGGTCCTAACGCGAGAAGAAAAACACAAAGAACAGACCCACTGCCACCTAGCATCGATTAATTAGGAGTGTTTTCCCTTTGAAGGAGTACATCTGCCTGAGAGGCCAGGAACCAACAGTCTGCATACAACTAATTCAGATCTGTAAAATGGAAGTGCATCCAAAACTCAAGTTCTGGAACAAGGCCGAAGTCCAGAAGTGGATGAACAACCAGAACTTGCTGCTGGAGTTTACAGCTGGTAAACTCGAAAAAAAATAATTTTGAACTATTCTGGGACCAATGAACACATCATGCAATGATTTATAAATTAACTGTCCTCTGGCATCAAAAGAGTTAATGTGATTAACCAGTGAACATATGATTGAAAATGAACATATAAATAATAATGATTAAAAAAAATTTTTTTATCCACCCATTGATCAGTTCACGAGTTCATAAACTGGTGATGTATTTTTGTGATAGAAAAAAAAAGACAATAAAATATGGCCCTCATTCTCAAACCAGGAGCCTTTTTCTTCCCTAGAAACAAGGTGACCATACTTACCTCAAAATGTCTTTAAACAAAATTAATTTTTCAACGGGCCTGCTACTGAAAAAAAAAATAATTCCTCAAGGTGCTGGTACTTCGTACCATTGCGTACCCCCAGAAAAAAAGCCCTGATTAAACCACCTGTAGGTTTGGCTTCAAAATATGCCTGCCAATGCAAGGGGTACACCCATTTAACTAATCATTTGTTCATACACTTTGGGGGGGAGGGGGGGGGGGGGAGGGGGGGGGGGGGGGAGAGAAGGTCTGAGTTTAAAATAAAAAGTCATAACATATGGTTACAATTCTCAAACCACTTGAATGATTAACCTGAAAATACAAGCAGTCTGCTGTCAAAAAACAGGCAACCTCAACTTTCTGAGTTAGTAAAATATGTTATCATGACATCAGATGGGGGGGGTAGAGAGTCGGGGGAGAAACAACGTGATCACTTCTAATAAGTTGTAAAGCTGAGGTTTAGAGATAAACTTTCTCTGCCAGTCTTCTCCGTGTCTCCCTGCCTGCCTGTTACTTGGGACGAGAAACTCCGGAACTATTCTTCTATCTCCCCCCAAATGAACCAGAACCCCGGGGATGCCAGGCAAAGTCCAATATTCTGGGGGTGTTATGAGCTGGTTGTTTTCAGCATTCACTGCTTCCTGCATCATCATTCTCAGGGTGTGTTCTTTGGCGTCATCATTCTCAGGGTGTGTTCTTTGGCGTCATCATTCTCAGGGTGTGTTTTTTGGCATCATCATTCTCAGGGTGTGTTCTTAGGGGTCATCATTCTCAGGGTGTGTTCTTTGGCGTCATCATTCTCAGGGTGTGTTCTTTAACATCATCATTCTCAGCGTTTCTTTGGTTCGCTCACTGCTATTACTGTGCCTGTTTTGAAGCGGTTCTCAACTTTGAAATGAATTTGCCTGACCTCTCCTTATCTGCCACCGCCCCCCCCCCCCTCCCCAACTTCTCATCCACCTGTCGACTGCACTATGTTCACACAAAGTAAGTTGCAGTTTGTTTGAATTCACATAATATTTCATCACAGTTTGTCCACCCCGGTGCACACACTTTTCCATACATTGTATTAATGGCGAACAAATTATTGTCATAACACTCCTAGTAGGTTCATTAGACTTTCCCTTAGATTCCAGGGTTTTCTTTTGATTGGGGTGAGATAAAATAATACTACCAATCTTCATTTTGGTCAGCACTCAAGCAGCTTGGCCAGATGAATATGTCTACTCCTGGCCAAATCCCTCGGTTTCTTCAATGGCGTAGTTCAGCTTCTCCACCAACTGGTCGTAGCTACGATAGGGTGGGAGGTCGAGCCTGTTGAAACAGGTATGAGATCGTGGCAGCCATGTTTCCTTGCCGACTTTTTCTATACAAAATCTCTGAGGTCCATTGCTTCCTGCAACAATATAAGGTAATTCGTGATAAACTGACACAGTGTCTTGAATGTCTAGCATAAATATGCTTTCATTAAAAACTTTGAGACACAGGAGATAATGAGGAAATGTAGAGTTAATAGAAAAAAATGCTATCTACATCTGTGAGGGCAGCTGCCGTCGTACAGCGGCTAGATGCTCACCAACAGATCAGAAGGTTGTGGGTTCAAGTTCTGACCGTGCCGAACCATTTTTAAAAAAAATGATCCTGGCTTCCAGGCCGACCCAGCCATGAATGGGTACCATCTAGAGTCCTGGAAAGTAAAGATGACTGCAGTCATGCTGACCACATCACACACCAAGTCCCAATTGATCTATAAATAATAGGTCTAGCCCTATATGCCTAAAGGCATGGAAACAGTCCTTTACATTTCATCTGCATTTGCTTATGTTTCTGTCTTAGCTATCAGTCGGTTCCAGTTACTGAGTCGAGTGCTGGGTGTGACACTGTGAGCTGCAGATTTCGCATGGAATGTTTTCTTCTGTTGTATCTGCAGGGTTGTTGACTGTACTAAGATAGCGGACAGTCTACTGAGTTTAGAATGGCATACACTTTTGTGGGTTTTTAATGACTGACCTTTTCTTTTGAAAACCAACAGTGAGCTGCAATTCTGGTGTGGGACCGTTATTACTGGCACGTCTGACAGACGCCTTATGCATATCTCTTTTGCATATGCAAGCTTCAAGACTTTGCAGGGACTGACAAGTTTTTAACTAGTTTTAAAATGGGACAAGGAAGGACGTTTTGTGTGATTTTCACTGGCATCTGAACAGAGCAGACATGCAGTGACTTGTCTACAGTGATGGGGAAACCTTAACTAACAACCCGCAAAACATTCATTCCCTTTTCCCAGTCCCATTTGAAAATCTGGTGAGCAAACAATTGTCCAGGCACAATCCAGAAATATGCGAGCACAGTAAATGCATACAGCAGTTGCTAGAGGTGCCAAAGCCAACAGTCGACACCAGAAATACAGTTTGATGGAAGTACTTGGTGGCACCAGAAGTTTAATGAAAAATATTTTTGCTTCCAATCTGACGAGGCTGGTTAAGGCCAGAATCATACCAGTAGTAGAAACAACAGATTTTGCTTCTGATGGGCATTACACCTGAACATCTTCTCCACCTACCCTCTCTACCCCAGTGGAACATGGGTCCTCAGCCAACTCATGCAATGTCATCTCATCCTTTGCTATTGCAGGCAGCTCACCCCATGTCTTCCCTTATCCTTTTAACTTCACTCTCTAGCTCTCTTCTTCTTCTTGAGTGTTTGTTGTTGCTATTCTGCCTTTATTTCCATGCCCTTGTTGGTTCCAGGAAAAAACCCATTCTAGTTATATTGTCCTCAGGTTTAATCCTAGACATTTGGGTGTGAAGGATGGAAAAATGGAGTAAAACTACACACCCATAAGCTCAGCAAAGCCTCCAACAGGCAACCGACATGTCCCAGTAACAAACTGTAAGAGTCGTGTCCGCTTCTCATTGTCAATCTCTTTCACCATCTGCAGGAAAATGAATGAAAGAAACTATAGGTCAATATTTATTCAGGTCAATATTCTGTTAAAATATACACATAAACAGATATTACACTGTGAACAAACACATTGTCTGAAATCTTCACAATAAAGAGCTGCTAAGTGTCAGTCAGTCAGAAGCATGTCCTTTGCAGAACCTTGCTCCCATAACAATCCTCTGGAAATCTTCTGAATCACAAGCAAGATGTCCCCCGTCTGACACACCCATCTGGGGATCATCCGCCACATCCTGCACCCATCTTCTCTTAGGCCTTCATCTTCCTCTCTTCCCAGGCATATACCCCTCCATTATTGTTCTCTCTCAACAGTGTAGTAAAAGTTAAATTCCGTGAAGACTGTTCCCAAGCTCGGCTGAAGGAGGAAGAGGGTCTGTCTGAACCTGAGTGCTTCATGCATCTCCGGAAGGAGTAGATAAGCATGAATTAACCAGACGGCAGGCAGGTAGATCGCAAGGAGGCAGGTAGACCACTAGAAGGCAGGTAGACCACACGGAGGCAGGTAGACCACAAAGAGGCAGGTAGACCACAAGGAGGCAGGAAGACCACAAAGAGGCAGGTAGACCACAAGCAGGCAGGTAGACCGCAAGGAGGCAGGTAGACCACAAGCAGGCAGGTAGACCGCAAGGAGGCAGGTAGACCACAAGCAGGCAGGTAGACCGCAAGGAGGCAGGTAGACCACAAGCAGGCAGGTAGACCGCAAGAAGGCAGGTAGACCACAAAGAGGCAGGTGGACCGCAAGAAGGCAGCCCCTCCATCATGCCAAGGCACAACAGGCTTTTCACCTGTTTGCCTAAAACTAGGATTATAAGTTTTCACAAAGAAAAAACCAGACAGACCATAACGCGGATAAACTGGCATTATTTATGGTTAAAACTGCTGACAGAGAAGTCTGTCGATCTCTCTGGCAAACCTCTTCACCTCTACAGATAGAAGAGAATCAACGAAGTAGTTAAGTAGTAGTAGATTACAGACCTAAAGTCAAAATGGACGCTAGGCACGGTCACTGTTCTGAGCCGTAGCAAATTTGTTTGCTTCTGTCAGACAGTGGCCATTTCATTTCTGAACCATTTGTAGACTGAAAGGATATAGTTTTGTCACCCAGCTACTGAGCTGAGTGCTGGGTGCAGCAATGTGAGCTGAGGATTTCATTTGGAATGTTTTTTTTACTGTGATCAACGTGGTGTTGTGAATTGTAGAATTAGAAAATAGTGCATGGCCAGTTGTCGCAATATTGGTGGTGCCCTTTTGTGATTAAAATTTATTGCGTGTGCAGGTGCTGATCTGTTGGTAACTTCTGCTACCGTCGATGATGAACTACACTTCTACTGTTGGACTGTTTATGTTAGCGCTTCTGATATCTACCGAATGATTTTAATGCGTATGTATGCTAGTGCATATGCTGAGACAGCAGTCTGTCAATCTTTCCACAAGGGACTGTGATGAACATTCTGTGTGTTTTTTGTTGGCACAGGAGTGGAGCAACTATGGGGTGACCCGTTTGCTATGAAGCTGAAACTAAGATTATCAAGTTGAGTTGAGTTGAGTCAAGAATCGACATCACAGCACTCAGGACATTCCCACGTGTGCTCTGTCCTTATCTTCAGCAGACAGCTCAGAGTTCCAATACTGATGGTACTGGTCACAATCTGGTTATATGTCCATCTTGTCTTTCCTCCGAGTTTTGTGAGCCGGCTAGACCCTCTGGTTACACCCAGGTGCCTTATTCTCTCCAGATTACCAATTAAGTACACTGTACCCACTGCCGTCTTTGGGAATGTTACAAGGTGATGTCCCAGTCTCTTTCCAAACTCTCTCATTAACACCATCCAAAAATGAAAAGAATGAATATATTTAAACAAAACAAAAAGAGTTTACAGGTGGTGAATGCGAAAAAGAAGAAGTTACATAGGATTCACAGACTGACAATGCCATGGACAGTACTGATCTTGGAGGGAACCTATCTCAAGATTGATGAGGCACTATGGAGTCACAAGAATGAACGAACAAACTTTATTTTTAAAGGGTTAATAATTGGGCACGCAGGCCCGTCTAACATTCTGCACTTTGAGGTCTCCCTCCGTTCTTACATCATTTCATTCACACATCAAGTAATAAGATGTTGAGTTCTTCATGAGGGAAGACTAACTGCGGTAACTTTGCACTGGAACCCATATAGGCATAGAAATAAAGGCAGACCAAAAAAAAAAGAACATGGAGAAGAGAACTAGAGAATAAAGTTAAAAAAAATGGGAAGGACATGGGGAGAGCTGTATCTGCATGCGACAGCTAAGGATAGGACACCTGGTGCGAGTTCATTGAGGGTCAATGCTTCAAAGGGGGGGGGGGGGGGGGGGGGGTAAACAGGACAGAAAAAGACATCTTTAAAGGTTAAGGTTAAAGATTAAAGTTGAGAAGATTGACTTCACTGCACCGGATTTCATCCCACATGGCTCTGTCTAATATAGAAATAATAACACATTTTTACACTGCAATCCGTTTTCCTTTCTTTTTCCTGAAAATAACCCTTCTTTCTTCTCCTCTTCTTCTTTGTTTACCGGCTGTGAGCTCCGGCGGGAAGTCCTGGTTGTTCCTCCAACCAGACTTTAGCTTTGTACCAGGGCCTGAGTTTTGCGTGTACGTTCATTTTACTGTTTTGTGTGCAGCTGTTCCTTGCTGCTCCGGAAGATGCACTCCAACATTGAAACAGCCCCTCCACCCCAATTAGTCGACTACTACGACATGCTCTATTCTTGTTTTCCCCACAACAGGGCCCCGGAACCCACATGGGGAACTCTTCTTTCTTAAAACAACACTGTGAATAACCCTACCTTCCAGAACCACACCACTTGCTTGCTGTTGCGCTGATAGTGCCGGTAGATGGTGTTTCTCTCCCAGTCATCGACATCAATTTCTTGCATACCACACAGCATCAGCTGGGAATAGATAATAGATATATGTGAAACAATAGAGTATCAGCTGAGAATAGATAATAGATATATGTGAAACAATATATGTGTGTGAAAGTGTCTGCATACCATATTGAGAATCAGCTGGGAATAGATAATAGATATATGTGAAACAATATATGTGTGTGAAAGTGTCTGCATACCATACAGAGTATCAGCTGGGAATAGATAATAGATATATGTGAAACAATTTATGTGTATGAAACTATCAGCACACCATACAGAGCATCGGCTAGAAACAGAGAGCATCTAAAAGGAAATCCAACAATATGAAATGTAAAAGTGTTAAAATAATTTTAAAAAACAATTAAAAAAACATTCACCACAACATTAGCTATGGAAAAGAGAGCAGATATGAGCATATTCAACAATAAAAGATGTGAAAGTGTTTTCATATTGCTCTCAATTCAAAAACAACAACAGACAAATGGTGCCATACCACACAGCGTGAGCTCAGGAGGTCAATATGATGGCATTATTACCAAGTACCTCTGAAATGAGATACTTGAGAAAGGCTGTGACTAAATTAGAAGAGGCCCTGTTCGAAAGGAGAAGATTAAAGAACTTTTGGAACTGTAGCCATGGTTATAACTCAATGGACAACAACCACTGACATGGTTTGCCTGTGTAGTGAAAATGGATGCAATAATACCAGCAGCAAGAGTGTGAAACACGAAGACAGGAACACCAGGGTGCAGAGGGAGACCCAGAAGAAGATGAATTGAAGGAGTCACTGACAGTCTTCACAATATCACAGTGTACCAAGCAACTGAGTGTGCCCTAACTCAACTACCTAACAACCTTCTGGTAAATGACAATTTACTGCCATGTCTTGAGTTAACTGTTCTTGAAACGTGTAGTTAAACTCCAATAGTTCCATGTGCGCCTCTGCCGTGTTTAACGGTCAATACCCAAAGGAAAAAAAATAGAAGGGTGTGGGTGGGGGTTTCTTTTGACCACAATGGCTTTTTTAAAGCCATGCATGCCAACTTTTCTCACAAGTCTCAGTGATATAGGTCACCAGGTAAAGACATCAGTCAGCCAACTAATATTCTATGCAATAATTATTTTATTTGGGATAAGAAAGAGAATTCTCAAGAGTTACATACATTCTACCCTGATCTATAAAAGTGAATCATGGACAGTTGGACGATTAGTGGAACATTACAGAAGAATAATGAGAACACCCTGGACTGATTTTTAAAAAAAAGAGTAATGAAAGATGCCTTAAAAGAAATGACTCACGAAGAGAACTGACAGCTGACATCACAAGGAGACAGTCTACAGCTGTCACCATGGACTGTACAGACATGACTCAGGAAGAGAACTGACAGCTGACATCACATGGAGACAGTCTACAGCTGTCACCATGGACTGTACAGACATGACTCAGGAAGAGAACTGACAGCTGACATCACATGGAGACAGTCTACAGCTGTCACCATGGACCATACAGACATGACTCAGGAAGAGAACTGACAGCTGACATCACAAGAAGACAGTCTAGTGCTGTCCCCATGGACTGTACAGACATGACCAACTACATTCTCTGGTCGTGTCATGTGAAGGAGAAGCTGTAGCACACTGTGATGGTGGGAAAGTGGAGGGGGAAAAGAAGTTCAGGAAGACAGACAGAGAAGATGCTGGGCAGTTTGACATCAAGGCATACAAGATCATTTGTTTCAGAGCCGACTGAAAGTACCTGAGGTAGAAAGCTGTGAACAGATATAACCACCAACATCACACAGCATGGACTATATAAGAAGAATAGGACAACAGTCAAAGATACACCAACACTTCAGAAAACAGCACAGAAGCATACCTCCAGTTCTCTCTCGTCAAAGTACTGCAGCCACTGTAAGGGCACCACTTCATTGAAGCCTTCCAGGAAAGCCTTGGTTTGCTCCTCAACACCACGAGTAAAACGCCAATTTGTCATTAGACTGAAATAAAGCGTTAAAATTTATATTTTAATGTATACATACTATAGGGTGTTTGTATAAAGTCTCACTACACTTTGTATGTTTAACAAGTGCAAAAATGAAGTATATGACTTCTTTAAAAAATGTGATCCATAGTCAACTGTGAAGAGATATGCAGAGAATGGCTATCATCTGGTGGGGTAATTCTTTGCACCCATTACAGAAAGATGCTATCAACGGAAGCAATCAGAATTACTATTCAAGGAATAACCACAGTAACTAAGTAAGTTTTACCCCACCAGGACATCACACACCGTGATAAATGCCTGGTGACACAAAGTGGCACCATGCGGGTGAGGACTACTTGTGGAGAGGTGGCAGAAACCCTGTTCAACTGTTAGGCTATATTAGGGCCCCCAGCAAAAGCCAGGCTGGGGCTTCAAAATAAGGAAAAAATTTCATTCCACAAGGGGACAAATAACAACAGAAATGTAGCAGAAGGTATCTGACAATATGAACAGACATGTACACCCAAGTCTTGAAGTCCATGGCAGACATTTCTAAGAACTGTTAAAAAAGAATATGTGATTTGCACTTTCCATCTTCCTAAAACCATGTTAGACCATAGACGTGAATACTGTTACAAATTTAATTATATTTCTAGCATACTGTTTGATGACTTGGGGTTTTCAAATCTGTTCTGCATACAAACAGCAGTGAGACTTCAACTTTTTGAGTTCCAAGAGGTTTAGCATCAGAGGCCCAAGGTGTGGTAATGCAATTTTGAAATTTCACATGTTGAATGAATGTTGAATTAAGAATTGACATCACAGCACTCAAGACAGCCCCATTAGCGCTCTGTCCCCATCTTCAGCAGCAAATGAAGAGTTTCAATTCCGATGTCACCAGTAACTGTCTGTATATCCATCTCGCCCTTTCCTTGAGTGTTGAGCGTCGGCCAGATCCCCTGGTAAAAAAACTAATATTTATTCTCTTTGTACCAGCTTATGTCCTTATCGTTGCACGCTCTGCATGAGTTATATATTCTTGCTATCTTCATTGAACTCTCTCCATCTAATTTTGGATAAATCCGATAAAAACATACTTCCTTTAAATCTGAGGTGTCCAAAGCCATAAATCATGTTGGCATAAAAGCAGAAGACTGCGTGACAGCCATGCTCTTTTCAAACCAACAATAAATAGGTAAACCTCAAAAACATACTATATTTTAGGTTATAATTAAACATATAGCTATATTTTAACCACCAACATCTTGGGTATACTTAAAGTAGTTTTTAAACACTGAACATTTTATAGATTTTAACCACCAACAACTTGGGTATACTTAAAGTAGTTTTTAAACACTAAGCATTTTATAGATTGTAACCACCAACAACTTGGGTATACTTAAAGTAGTTTTTAAACACTAAACATTTTATAGATTGTAACCACTAACATCTTGTATATAGTTTAACACCTCAAAGATTATATCTGTGTATATCTGAACAAAAGTAGGCATATTTTAACACCTCAAAGATTATATCTGTGTATATCTGAACAAAAGAAGGCATATTTTAACAATGAACACTTGGCATATATTCTAAATAAAAATAATTTGTGTCTATTTTAACAACAAACAATGTGTGTCTATTGTAAGCACTAACAACAAACAATGTGTGTCTATTGTAAGCACTAACAACAAATAATGTGTGTCTATTGTAACCACTAACAACAAACAATGTGTGTCTATTGTAACCACTAACAACAAACAATGTGTGTCTATTGTAACCACTAACAACAAACAATGTGTGTCTATTGTAAGCACTAACAACAAACAATGTGTGTCTATTGTAACCACTAACAACAAACGATGTGTGTCTATTGTAACCACTAACAACAAACGATGTGTGTCTATTGTAACCACTAACAACAAACAATGTGTGTCTATTGTAAGCACTAACAACAAACAATGCGTGTCTATTGTAAGCACTAACAACAAAGACTGTGTGTCTATTGTAACCACTAACAACAAAGACTGTGTGTCTATTGTAACCACTAACAACAAACAATGTGTGTCTATTGTAAGCACTAACAACAAACAATGTGTGTCTATTGTAAGCACTAACAACAAATGATGTGTGTCTATTGTAAGCACTAACAACAAAGACTGTGTGTCTATTGTAACCACTAACAACAAACAATGTGTGTCTATTGTAAGCACTAACAACAAACAATGTGTGTCTATTGTAACCACTAACAACAAATGATGTGTGTCTATTGTAAGCACTAACAACAAACAATGTGTGTCTATTGTAAGCACTAACAACAAACACTGTGTGTCTATTGTAACCACTAACAACAAACACTGTGTCTATTGTAAGCACTAACAACAAACACTGTGTGTCTATTGTAAGCACTAACAACAAACAATGTGTGTCTATTGTAAGCACTAACAACAAACAATGTGTGTCTATTGTAACCACTAACAACAAACAATGTGTGTCTATTGTAACCACTAACAACAAACAATGTGTGTCTATTGTAACCACTAACAACAAATAATGTGTGTCTATTGTAAGCACTAACAACAAACAATGTGTGTCTATTGTAACCACTAACAACAAATAATGTGTGTCTATTGTAACCACTAACAACAAACAATGTGTGTCTATTGTAACCACTAACAACAAACAATGTGTGTCTATTGTAACCACTAACAACAAATAATGTGTGTCTATTGTAACCACTAACAACAAACAATGTGTGTCTATTGTAACCACTAACAACAAACAATGTGTGTTTATTGTAACCACTAACAACAAACAATGTGTGTCTATTGTAACCACTAACAACAAACAATGTGTGTCTATTGTAAGCACTAACAACAAACAATGTGTGTCTATTGTAACCACTAACAACAAATGATGTGTGTCTATTGTAAGCACTAACAACAAACAATGTGTGTCTATTGTAAGCACTAACAACAAATGATGTGTGTCTATTGTAACCACTAACAACAAACACTGTGTGTCTATTGTAACCACTAACAACAAACACTGTGTGTCTATTGTAAGCACTAACAACAAACAATGTGTGTCTATTGTAAGCACTAACAACAAACAATGTGTGTCTATTGTAACCACTAACAACAAACAATGTGTGTCTATTGTAACCACTAACAACAAACAATGTGTGTCTATTGTAACCACTAACAACAAATAATGTGTGTCTATTGTAAGCACTAACAACAAACAATGTGTGTCTATTGTAACCACTAACAACAAATAATGTGTGTCTATTGTAACCACTAACAACAAACAATGTGTGTCTATTGTAACCACTAACAACAAACAATGTGTGTCTATTGTAACCACTAACAACAAATAATGTGTGTCTATTGTAACCACTAACAACAAACAATGTGTGTCTATTGTAACCACTAACAACAAACAATGTGTGTTTATTGTAACCACTAACAACAAACAATGTGTGTCTATTGTAACCACTAACAACAAACAATGTGTGTCTATTGTAAGCACTAACAACAAATAATGTGTGTCTACTGTAAGCACTAACAACAAACAATGTGTGTCTATTGTAACCACTAACAACAAACAATGTGTGTCTATTGTAACCACTAACAACAAATGATGTGTGATTATTGTAAGCACTAACAACAAACAATGTGTGTCTATTGTAACCACCAACAACAAACAATGTGTGTCTATTGTAACCACTAACAACAAACACTGGGTGTCTATTGTAACCACTAACAACAAACAATGTGTGTCTATTGTAAGCACTAACAACAAACAATGTGTGTCTATTGTAAGCACTAACAACAAACAATGTGTCTCTATTGTAACCACTAACAACAAACAGTGCATGTCTATTGTAACCACTAACAAATAATGTGTGTCTATTGTAAGCACTAACAACAAACAATGTGTGTCTATTGTAACCACTAACAAATAATGTGTGTCTATTGTAACCACTAACAAATAATGTGTGTCTATTGTAACCACTAACAAACACTGTGTGTCTATTGTAACCACTAACAAATAATGTGTGTCTATTGTAACCACTAACAAATAATGTGTGTCTATTGTAACCACTAACAACAAACGCTGTGTGTCTATTGTAACCACTAACAAATAATGTGTGTCTATTGTAACCACTAACAAACACTGTGTGTCTATTGTAACCACTAACAAATAATGTGTGTCTATTGTAACCACTAACAAACAATGTGTGTCTATTGTAACCACTAACAAATAATGTGTGTCTATTGTAAATACTAACAAATAATGTGTGTCTATTGTAACCACTAACAAATAATGTGTGTCTATTGTAACCACTAACAAACACTGTGTGTCTATTGTAACCACTAACAAATAATGTTTGTCTATTGTAACCACTAACAAATAATGTGTGTCTATTGTAACCACTAACAAATAATGTGTGTCTATTGTAACCACTAACAAATAATGTGTGTCTATTGTAACCACTAACAAACACTGTGTGTCTATTGTAACCACTAACAAATAATGTGTGTCTATTGTAACCACTAACAAATAATGTGTGTCTATTGTAACCACTAACAAATAATGTGTGTCTATTGTAACCACTAACAAACACTGTGTGTCTATTGTAACCACTAACAACAAACAATGTGTGTCTATTGTAACCACTAACAAATAATGTGTGTCTATTGTAACCACTAACAAATAATGTGTGTCTATTGTAACCACTAACAAATAATGTGTGTCTATTGTAACCACTAACAACAAACAATGTGTGTCTATTGTAACCACTAACAAATAATGTGTGTCTATTGTAACCACTAACAAATTATGTGTGTCTATTGTAACCACTAACAAATAATGTGTGTCTACTGTAAGCACTAACAAATGATGTGTGTCTATTGTAACCACTAACAACAAACAATGTGTGTCTACTGTAACCACTAACAACAAACAATGTGTGTCTATTGTAACCACTAACAACAAACAATGTGTGTC